TTTTCATATGTTTATAGATCTACTTGATTTTAACCATTTTTTAAATTTTAAATTTTATAATTGATATAAAAATAGATTTTGAGATAATCCTAAAAATATTTTACATCAAAATTATATACCATTAAAAATTTGAAGGTGCACCTTACCTCTACACCTACGGATACATCCGTATGCAAACTGCACCCAAAAGGTTGAAATAGCCAACTATTATTAGGGTGATCGTCTACGGCTTTGATGACTTGGTTCATTAATTTGATATTGTTCCATTAGCCAATGCGCCAGCATAGTTTTTATATGACAAACTTTAAAACATTTTCAAGAGAATGCATTATCTACAAGGCCCGGACCTTATGAAAAAAGGTGAAGCCTCGCTTCAAAATCTCGTACTAAAAACATTGCATGCATCATAACTCTTCTGGATGACTCTAAAATCTATTTCCACCATTGATTGTGAAATTTGTAGTTCAAAAAAGCAATGTAAATTTTGTAGAACTACGAACATTTGAAATTTGACTTTCTAAATAATGTTTTACAATATACCATATTTTCAAAGCTTTGAAATCTTGATTTTTTTCACTACCATAATGATCAAAGTCGAGATGATTGATTTAACTATAATTTTCAGTGAATATTGAAATGAGGCTTTACTTTTTTTATAAGGACTATACCTTATTTAAACATTTTCCTTTTCCCTACTGGCACCCAAAAATTTCCTTTTCCTTACTGGCACCCAAAAATAGCTTTTGCAACAGGTGGCGAGGGGATTTTTCTAATTTTTGGCAGTTGAAATGCATAAAAAAAAAACTCTCATAATTTGGAAAAAAATGCAATAATATTATATATTTTGATGTAGTGTTTAAAAATTAGCTGACCGAGATCGTATATTTGAAAAGCTGATTCACTTAGCCGATCCAATTTTAGCCAGTGTTCATCCATCTTCGAACGAAAACCTATCTTCGATTCCAAAATTGTTCGATCCAGATCGGGTATCAACCAGACCGACTAGATCCAATTTTAACCAATGTTCATCCATCTTCGAACGAAAAATCCATCTTCGAATCCGAAATTGCCTGACCGGATCGAGTATCGACCAGCTCGATCGAATGGCGTCACGTCTGTAACGACTTCCTCCAAAATCAACACCACTTTAAGTGGGATGCATATGTCAGGTGCATATTATAACCATGTAACCAACTGGATACGCATCCAGGGGTGGCTTAAGTGTTTTATAGGGTTATTTCCTTTCGCAAAACCTTTTGCAAAGATCCGATGTGGGACTTTACTTCCTGTCCACCTCTCTTGCTCCCCTCTTGCCGTTTCTCTTTTTTGAAATTCAAAAGAAATATAACTTTGGTCAATTTGAAATGGTTTCTCTCTCTCGCTCTCTCCAGATGGTATTCATCTCCCTCTCTTTACAAAGATTATAGGGTTTTTTTGTTTTGTTTTTAATTATATGATATAAAATATTTTTTAATAATTTATTAATCATGTTTATTATAAGAATCATGTTTATTACATTATTATAATGAATAGTTATACATTGACAATCAAATCTTATATTTTATTTATATTAAAAATTATGTAATATATTATTTTTCTTACATTTCTAAATTGTAAATAAGTATCTTTATATTAGATGATATTATAAAATATTTTATAATTGTTTTTATTTGTATAGTAAAATAATTATAAAATATAAACAAACAAGTTCAATTTCGATATATGATATTATAGTTAGTTATGTTGTGAGAATTTTGGATGAGTAAAGTGAATTAATAAATGTTTTATACAACATTATAATTACGAACTATACAGACATCCAGATAAGAAAATAATGTCACAGTATTCGCCTATTTTTACAAAGTAATTAAAGTACACAATGTATCACTCCAAACTTTTTTAGAAACTAATAAAATACTATTTTTAGAGATTTATAGTGATTTTTTTTTAAAAAATTGGGACAAAATTTATCGATTCTCCGATCCAATCCACCGATCCGACACGGATATGGATGTCGACGATTTGGGTTGCCGATCTGTTTTTTAAACCTTGGTTTTAACATATGAGTTTTATCCAACAATTTGAGGCGACAAAAAGAAAAACAAAAAAATCAACCATTCATAACATTAACTCCTGAGCAAACCAACAGAGAATAGCCCAAATTTAGGGGAGAGGATAAACCAATAAAATTACAAGCCAATGGAACCTATACTCCTTTTTAGGACTATTCACTCCATTTACTTGGGTAAAATACCTGTTTTAGGGCTCAAATTTTGTGTTGTAACCTTTTCGACCTTTCAATCAACAACAAGACACAAAAACAAAATACAAGTAAATAGTAATAAAATAAAATAAGTTTGTCAAAAAAAATTAAACAAAAGACGTAAGGTTCTCAGGAACCTCTAGCTTGTGGAATAAGAATCCCAAATACCGGGATCCCACCCAATATCGTATACATAATTGGCTAACTGTGAAGTAGACGGATACAATTATAATTTGAGTGCAATAAATAAAGCAAACATAAAAAAATACATCATAATACACGATTTTACATGGTTCACCCCAGAAGGCTATATCTACGGCCTCGGCAAATAGCAATCCACTATCTCAATGAAGATTACAGTTTTGAGTTACAAGAAATAATATCTATATCTAAACATCGATAAAAGACTATTACCGATCTTTCTTTCTAAACCCGCTCTCCTGACCAAGTAACACCGTCGATCTTTATCTTCTTTTCAACCTCAATACTACTACTGGAAAGATAATCTCGAGAGCATTAAGATATTTTCTCTCTCTAGAAGTTGAAGCATTACCAATCCAAAATCTTATGGGAATACCGCCTATCTCTTAGAGGCCATATCACTCTCTCTTGGAGACATATCTCCATCTTGGAGATCCATTCCCATAACCCCTTAAAAGGGTGACCCGTAAAAGGATGAGTATTATACTTTCCTTGATCCCCCCCTTATAGAGATCATTTAAACTTTTTTTTTTGCTTCTCAATAAACATCTTTTGTTTTTTCATAATACCCTTAATCTTTGAATAAAAACATAGGGATTATGATTTTAACTATCACCAAACCTAACAATCTCTACGTTGATAGTAAAATCACCATATTTGCCTTACCGATATTCATTTAATAGATTTATTGATTTCTTCACACTTGCCTCAATTGTGGAATTTTCATATACACTTTGCCTCTATATTTTTCTACCTCAAACAATGTATCCATCAAACTCCATCATTCATCCTTTTTATCAATGCAAAACTTAGCCCCAACATACCTTATGCTCTGATACCAATTATAGGGTTCTAGGTGACCCCTAGCTTGTAGAACTAGGAATCCTATCCAAGATTGTGTACATGATTGGCTAAATACGAAGTAGATGAATACAACTGTAAATTGAGTGAAAGAAATAAAACGAATATAAAAAAACACACTATAATACACGATTTACGTGGTTCACCCTATAGGGCTACATCCACGGCCTCAGTAAATAGAAATCAACTATCTCAATGAAGATTATAATTTTGGATTATAAGAGATAATACATATCTCTAAACATCGAAAAAGACTATCATTGATCTTCCCTTTTAAACTTGCTCTTCCGACCAAGCAACACCGTCGATCGCTATCTTATTTTTCAATGCAATATCGCTACCGAAAAGATGACCTCGAGAGCAACTGAGAAATTTTATCTCTCTATAAAATGAAACACTACTAACCCAAAATCTTATGGAAATACCGCCTATCGCTTAGAGGCCATCTCTCTCTCTCTTGAATACCTATCTCCATTTTGGAGACTCGCTTCCATAACACCTCAAAAGAGCGACCCTCAAAAGGATGAGCATTATGCTTTCCTTGATCCCCTGTTAAGAAACTCCTTTTGCGTTTTTCTTGCTTCTTAAGAAACCCTTTTTGTTTTTTTCTTGCTTCTTAATAAACCCCTTTTGTTTTTTTCATAACACCCTTAATCTTTAAATAAAAACATAAGAATAATAATTTTAACTATCACCCAACCTAACAAAAGAAAAATACCATCTTAAGATTAACCACATACTATTCAAGTTTTGAATGGTCAGATCTAGTTATTTAAGAACTTGAGATCGGAATTTTTAAGAACCTCAAAGTGAATTTTAGTAGATATTAAGATTTCATATTGAAAAAATCCTTATATTTTGTTAGAGCAAGCTATGCCCATTATGTTTTGCAACAAAAAGCTGAAAAATATAAAGTTGGAAAATCGAAAAATTCAAAATTGATCACCGAACAACATTTTTTACTAGTTTTCCTTAAGCCCCAAGATATCAATCATGCTCCTTGCATGTATGTTGCACCTATAACCATAATCTCACTGTATTCCTAGACTTCACATCCACAACCTTTAAAAAATCATAATTCAGGAGCCCTTTCAATAGCTTGCAATTTTGTTATACCTCAATTATAAAATTTAAACTCTTGGTAGATCTATAGACCCCTTAACGAGTAAGCTATATTTATTTAGGTTTTGTAATTTTGTTTTTGCTTTTTTTTAAAGTCAGTCGAACCCAATTAGTTGAGAAAAGACTTTTACAATGATGATGTATTTGTTTTTTTAAGTTCTATAATCGCTAATTCTATATGATCGATTTATAAATTTTTTAGCCTTAGGTTAGGTTCCCAAATATTATCTCTGTCTAAGCCAATCGATGGACGGTGATAGGAAAGAAATTTAGGCCATGAGAACATGAAATGGCCCAAGTCGTAGGTTCCAATTTCTCCAATGCCATCCATCAAGTGATTGGAGGGTGATAACCCTCACAACCAAGACAGCTTTTTTTATGAACCATAGTAAATACTTCTTCACGCCAATACTCCAGAACTACAAGGGTAATCTCGAAATTTTGACCACTCGAGAGGCCGCATTTTTTGAGACTGTTTTTGCGATTTTTGTTAAGAAAAATGGTCGTTTTTGTAATTTTGATAAATTCAAGAAGCCACTTCCTGGAGTTTATTTAAACGTACGACTGTGGGATTTTTCCCGTGATATTCGCTTGATTTCCGCGCTCGCCAATTTGAAATTTAGGGTTGTGAAGCCTCTGAGAATCTCCCCCCAATTCCTCCATTTTTAGGGTTTCTAGCTTTTCCAAAGCCTCAAGCCCTCTACTTGGAGATCTCCGTCAGGCGTTAATGGCGGATTCAGAGTCTCCTTCCCCTCCCCTTTCTCAGGTGTTTCTTTGTTTGCTCATTTCTGATGACTCTGAAACCTTCCATATCCAGATTCTATTCATTTATTTCTGAAATTTAGCTGTTTATTCGTTAAAGCGATCTGATCTATTGTAATGTGTTCATATGTTTTTTGTGGATTTGATGGCAAACACTTGCAGAAGAAAGAGAATTTGGCTCCTGTTAGTTCAAAAATAGCGGTACATTTATTCATCTTTTACTTGATCGATTTGTAATTTTTCTGGTTTTATCATCTGTATTGCGATGTATATTTAGATTCGTTTATGTTATATGTGCGATTATGGGCATGGGCAAATTTGATTTATAAATTGCATTTGGTTATGTTTTAGAGTTGTATGTTTATTATCCGTTTATTCTATTCTAATGTTTTCCATGTTCTGCTTTTTAGGATCTGAACAAGTCCAAGACAGAGTTGTTGACACGAATTCAAGGGCTGAAACAGGTTTGCTGTGTGTATAGATGTGATTCATGATATCATTTTCTTAGATAGTAAGTATATTTTTGTTTTATACCCAATTTTTTACGTGGTTAGCTTCAACTGCAGGATATGCAAGAGTGGAGATCAAAGTTGGACTCACAAGTTAAGACTTACCGTGATGTGAGTCACTGTTAAACTTGTATTGAGTGATGATCCTCTATTTGTTTATGCTCTCTGTCTCTCTCTCTCTCTCTCTCTCTTCTTTAAAAAAAAAAAAACCCCCCTCATATCATACTATATTTGTTTCGTGATGATCAAATACAAATTCATAAAGCTATCTCCTATTTGTTCGGCCCAAGGTATTATTACTATCTTCATTTATTGGTATGAAGATTCCTTGTTTCTCTAAACTACTTTGGTGAGAAAGCTACTGAAATAATAGGAAAGCACAGAATGACCTGAACCATTGACTTATTTGATGCATGAGAAAAGGCTCTTACCATTTGTAGAATGTTTGTGTCTACATTCATCGAGTTAATTGGTATGATTCAGTGCTTGAAGGTTTTTTTTTGTTTTGTTTGCTTTAGTAGCTATATGCATGCTTCATTCGGAATCGTTGGACTTGTGCCCAATGGTAACCACTTTCTGATTATAATTTAAGAAGATCCCAGTTTTGTAAAAGTTTTAATGGCCCTTTTGGATATGCTTCTTGGACTGCAATTACTTGGTTGTGCTTCTCGCTTCAGTTTATGGATATCATATTTGGAACCTTATTCTGTATATTATTAATTACTGGTAATCTAGGCTGTAGTTGCCCGCAGTGCCTTGTCTGTTAGCAACCATTGTTTCTGGGGCATATTCTCAGTTCACTCTTTTTTTGTATTACTATACGACAAAGTTGTTGTAAGCGATACAATTATGGCACTTTAAGATCATTTTATTGCACTAAATTTGGTAAGATGAAGTGGAATAAAGACAAGTTTATGAAAATTCACGAACTACTTCAATCATACTGTAATGATTAGCTACTTTATTATATCAGTTTTTGCTCTTGTCCCATGTTAGTTATGTATGTAATGAAGCTAGCCTACACTATGTTCTTGGAAAATATGTTAATAGAAGAAAGAACTAATTATATGGTAGAAGAAAATGGTAATACTAAAAAATGTACAACAAACGGGAAAAAATGTACAACAAATGGGCAACAACGCTCCTGATAGTGTTCTAACTCTTGATCCATGTAACATGACTGACTGAGACCTGTTTCCAATGCTGAAACCGGGGCTTCTTTGTATAGAGGAGAATCTATGAACAAATTGTAATTCTAAACTTTGTGGTCATACGCTCACCTTACAAACACAAGTAGTAAACTTAAGGAATTGATTTTACTTTGAATTTCTGAATACCACCTCCAGAGTTGTGAAATATTAGCTGGAATGAGCTTTGCAGTCTCATTTCTTCCCTATAAATTCAAAATTTATCGCCCTTAACCTTGATGACCAAGGATAGGATATCTGTGCTGCCTCAAATCAACCTTCCCAAACATTTCATGAATGGGAAAATGTGGTGCCTTAAGCAGCTACTCTTACTCAGATTCCCTACTTTCCCAGTAATGTAGGTTCACCAGGAGGGCTCTTTGGTGTCGCTCTAAAGGGTAAAAACAGTAGGGGTTCTTAGGCACAAGAGGAATTCTGTGACTTCAATCTGAAGTGGGTGGAAAAAGCTTGTTTTAAATTGGTAGTCATTGTATTCAAAATTTGTATATAATTATCACTATATTAAGGTGTTTTTCAACTCAATCCAGAAATTTTCTGTACATGCACAAACATTTGGCTGTATAAAGACACAACCATGCACATAATTTGTCGTCATAGAATACATACCCCGCTTACAAAATATTTCAATTATTTACATAAAATATTAAAGGGAAAATTCCTAGTTTGGTATGTCTTCTTCTAAATGTTATGAAGTTATAAAAACTTGAAGTTCATTCCTAGCCTCGTTACCCATATAGGCATTCAATACCTGGATCCTTGCACTCTGCTGTCATTTTGCTAATTTGATATGCTTATTTTGTCATCATTTTTTTGGAGTGACAACAGGCTCAAGGCAGAGGTGGTGGGTGGTGCAACGCGATGCTAGAGATCCATTCTCACTAGGTTCCAAGTTCACATTCCCAAAAAAAAAAAGCTACTTGCTTGTTGGAACAGCATTGTAGTATTTGGGGGGTTTTTGTGTTCTTTGTTTTTTATTTTTGGGTGGGCTGGAAGGGGGTTGTTTCGTTTCTCTTTCACATCTATTACTTGCTGGTGGGTTGTGCAGTAGATAAGGCAAAGTCTGAGTGAATGTTTGGAAAGGGAACACTCACTGCTTGATAGCACAGCTAGCTTTCTGGCTTTACTCCAATTCTACTATCATAACTATTTGAGTTCTACTGCCTGAATGATTATGAGAAATTTGTAACACTTGTGCGAATCTAGGAATTCTTCCAGTGAGAAACATCCAATCCAAGCTCACCCTCCAAATTTCAGTGTGCTTATATTTTATAGAGGTGCGGAGACCATGCCTTTAACCTGCACATTTGAAGAACCTGCATTTCTTGAATTGTTTTCCTCTTTGGAAAAGCCTGGCATGTGCTTTGCTCCTTGTTAATTTTTGTATTCAACTACTTCATCCATTTGAAGCAACCTCATACAACTGTTAACAAAGAAAGAGAATATGATTATCTGATCAATGAGTATTTTGGTATGGACAATCTTTCCTTTCTCTCCGCTTCTGCATGCCAAAACAGCATCCCTATTTTTTGAGCTCCTGTTCAAATAGCCCATATGATTTATTGGGTTTCTAATTTTTTCTCTTTTACTAGTTTTTCTGGATACCAAAATTAGGTTTAGGTTATATAGTCTTTTATGTATTTATGTTAGGGTATTTGTCTTTTTTGTTTGTGGAGAATTAAGGGGTAGAGTTGGAACTTTAATTTTTTAAAAGATGCATGACTAGGATTTAATATTGATTGGGGTTTCTCAGGGAGCAAATTAGGTTAGGTGTTTTCTTCAATTAATAAAGTGTTGGACAAAAAAACAAAAAAGAATAAGAGTGCATTAATAGTTGAGTTTTACAAGGAGTGAAGCTTATGCTAATGTTGAACTTGAACATGAGATTGGAGGAGGTGTTATCTTTTTAAATAAGAGTCCAATAGGTAAGAGCTTGTGAGTCTGTTAAAGGAGTAGGAGAGTGCTAGGGAGGTCTTGAACAAGGAAACAAATTGAAATGTATGACACTGTTATTTAGGAAAACGAGATGGCCCTTTGATTGTTCTTATGATTCTTGGTTTACCAGGTACTGCCTATGATTTGAGCTGTCACCAGTGTAAATTAGTAGTGATGGCTCAATTGTGTTAGAAAGAATATTGGTTGAGATGTTCTACTATTTGAAGAAATTCTGTAATGAGCATGCTGTGAACATGCTAGTTTATCTTCCTTCCCTATCCTAAGCTATATTATGTTTTGATTCCTCTCCCAAATCCCTCCATCAGGGGTTCGTTTGGATAGTGCTGTGAAAGAGAGAGACAAATCTTACCACCCAAGCTGAACAGATATTACAAAACTTATTTTAGGCTTTATGGAAATTAGAATGGATTCTCATGTATTTGGATTCTTTGGCAGTTTCTCTATAGATGAGCTTTTTCTTTAGCCATTTTTTTGCTTTGTTTCAATAATTTTCAGAAGTTTCTTACAGTGTTTGATGTTGAGGCAGATGTTCCTTGCTGCGCATTGGCCTCGAAAGTATGGAGGTTATGACACTGTCACTGACTGTTCACATATTTGCTTGTCGACACAATGGTCTCCAGTGCTCCTTGCCCTCAGCAATATGCATTTCCACTTTAGAAACTGAATCACTTGAGATTGTTCTCCCATTCTTTGTTAATTAAGGAACAGGAAATGATAAATTGATGGCTGTGATATTCTATCAATATCTGATTTTTGATGTAATCTTGTTTATTTTAATAGTACTCTAAATAGTAAATATCCCTAGGATAAGCGCAAGTGCTTCCTCTGAATGTTCTCTTTTATGGTGTCCAAAATTGGTTATAATAGTGACAAACTACTTGGAAATTGTGAAAATGTTGGAATTACGAGGATTACAAAAATGGTTTTTTATTTTCTTTGTGAACATGTAATCCTGAGTTAGAAAACCTGAATTTGATTTCAGGTTCTTGAAGAATGTAGTGGGTGTTAGAGCAAGCAAGTCTTGTAAACTTACCTTTGGTTGTTATTTCCCATTGCATTTTTTATACTTTTGATTCTTTTATTGAAGTTTCTTGAAATCTGATTTCAATGTAACTTCCCCCCAGGAACTCTCTGGGTTGAAGAAAACGCTTAATGTTGAAGTTGAGCAACTTAGATCGGTTAGTGCATGACTCTCCTGCCTCTTGCTGTGATGTACTTTTTTACTGTTTATTTCTATTTCTTTGTTGCCATGGCTTATCATTGTCGACACCATAGGAATTTCAAGAATTGAGGAACACTCTCCAGCAACAACAGGAGGACGTAACAGCTAGTCTTAGGAACTTGGTGGTAGGATTTTTGTCCTTTATCTTGATTTGTCTTTGATGGTTCTTTCCCAATGCCAAATAATCAAATGAAGTCCTAAAATATATTCATTGAGATCTGTGCCATATATTTTGCATTAGTAAGTACATACTCAAACTAGAAAACATTAGATTGGAACTCCTCACTCCCAATTAAAATTTCCAATTTTCCCTGATCTCTCTTTCCCCCCTAAGACACCCCCACACATCCCCACATAAACAAACCGTAGAAATATAAGTTTGAGAGAATTCAAGAATTGTTAATTTGCTTCTTTTCATGTTTTGGGTTTCTCTGAATGTGATGAAGGATATTTTTTCTCTATATTTGTAGATAAGTGATTTGCCCAAAGTGGAGGAATCTGTCAAGGTATGTGGTGCATAACATTGGTTCCCTTTTGTTAGCTCTGCTGTCTTCTGTGCAAAATGATTACTTGAACCACAAATAGTTCAATTGGTGTTTAAAAACTCATAAAACTTGATCAACTTGGTGAGTGACAAAAACAATTTGACTCACTTAATTGAACACTGAACTCTGAAAATACTGTGGAGTTTTTCAGTTTTGTAAAAAGATTGGAAAAAAAGAGAAAAAAAAAAGGAACTTGTCACGTGTTCATTTAAACCTGGTCTGTCAGCTATGTGAAAGCTCACGTCAATCACTATGCTAAATTGGATTTAGGTAACAAAACAAAACAGAAATATTATATATAGGAAAAACTTGGGTGAATCTTATCTTTTTAATTTTTAAACCAGGGTAAATGGGCGAGGTATGCTGAATTGGTGAGTTTTTTCAAGTTGAAATCAGTATTTTAATGACTACTTTTAATGATTTCCATATATGTTCGACTTTAGGTATACGACGAAATGTAAAAAATTTAGCAAAGTATGATTTCTAATTTTCCAAGATTGATGTCCATGGTTGGTTCTTCTCTATGGGTAAATATGGAAAAATTAGCTAAGTGAGACTTCCAATTTTCCAAATGGTAATCTTCCTGTTATGCCCAGGTGTTGCTCTGCCTCTTTGTGCGTGTGTATGTGTGTGTGCGCGTACATGTGTGTGCTTGCGTGCGTCTGGGTGTGTGTCCATCATCACAGAAAAGTTTGTATGAACTATTAACTTAATCCTTTTTGTGTTTTGAGTTCCCTGAATATGGTGAAGATTCTCTTTTCTGCATTTTGTAGGCAACTGACGTGACCAAGGAGGAGGACAATGCTAAGGTATCTGGTTCATTATGTTGATTTACATTTGATAGTTCTATCTTTTCATATGGACAAAGTATCACATGGATAAAAAAAGTTTTATGCATGTTGCACTAATTCTGTATATAATTTATTGAGAAAACATTATTAGATACTAAACTCTGATTCTGAGATTTTCATGATCTCTCTCTCTCTCTCTAATCTAAAGTAACTTTTGGAGAACTGGTTATTGACTACTTTGTTTGGAATTTGCTTGAGTATGATAATTTTTTTTTGTTTTTCATTTTGTAGGAAAGTGATGAACCCAAAGTGAAGGAGCTGGCTAAGGAATCAGATGAGAAGGTGAACTGATGTCGGTAAGGTTCCCATGTTGATCTCTCTCTCTCTCACACATACACACTTGACATCTTTTACTTGAAAACAGGCCATATTTTCATGTTTATTATTCAAAGTTTGTTTTTGAATATGATGATGACTTTCTGCCTTTTGTAGGCAATTGATGCGTCCAGTGGAATGTATTGGATGATTGGGAGAACTGGTTTTTGTTGATATCCGGAGGGATGCAGTACTTGTATTTTGTCCAAGTCTTTTCGATGTGAAGTAATTTTGGACATGTTTTGTATTAGTTCGATCATCTCTTGTGATGGGCTCTTGAGTGAAGACTGAAGATGGGCTATATGTCAAAAACCTAGTTCTATTTTGGCATTGAAGGTATATAAATTAAAGGGTGTCTCCGTTATCATTAAAGTAGGAACCTGATGCTGTGGGAGCTTGTGGTTTTGTTTGAATGGTTTTGAATCAACACAACACAATTCATAGTAAAAGGACACGAGCTCGATGATTTACTTGCACACTTGGGTAGCTAATGATTCCTTATCAATTGCATAACAAGAGAGAGAGAGAGGGAGGAATTTCTTGTTGAGAGTTAGCAAAGTATATTGTACTTCTCATAACCATATAAAATCTGTGGTCATGACAATGATCACTGTCTGATGATCCAATCAACTCATTGGATGGCGATTGAGAGGTGGTCAGATCTACGATTATGGTCATGATGTTCTTACCGGTTCAACTCTCAGTGCAATTTTTTTTTTTTTTTTGAACGTGTTCATCTCTCACTGCATTGTCCAGCCCATTGGACGGTATGTTGCCTGTGGCTATGCAGCCTTTTGTCGTAAGAACCACTGTTTATTGTGTTGTGAATTCGGATGAATGGTTCTACTGTCTACTGTAGAGAAAAGAATTAGGTGCACGTTGATATCCGTGGAGAAGTATGGATAGTTTTGGCCCTCTTATATGTGGTCTGCTTTGGAGGTTTGGAGTACGAAAAACATATGACATTTATAGGGATTTTGGGGAATTTATAAAAACATCATTTTATTATCAAAATTTGAAAATAATTCCTTATGTCAATATGTTATATTCAGATTGCACTTTTTTAAAATGCATATCATTGTATTTTAATTTTTATCATTTCTTACCTTTGGTTTAAGTTCAAATTAGAAGTGCGTATATTTCTCACCATCATGCACTCTTGAGAAAATATTTTAGAAGAAATAAAGCGACTACAGGGATATTTTTGTTATTTTATCTTATTGAGTAATTTTTTTCATATTTTCACTTCTGCGGCGGTGGTGACAGGTTAGGTCCGGGTCGGTCGGCCAACCTGACCTAGCTAGGTTTTTCCTGGACCCTAGTCGGTTCCAAGTGACTTGGACTTGGACTCAGCCTGGACCCGCCTAGACCTGACTGCCAGGTCCAAAACATGAACCTAGGCCTGGACCCAGTTCGGGATGGCCCACCGACCCAATGTGATTGCCACCGCTAGTGATGGTGGGAAGCATGACGCTCCAAATTTAGGCTTTATCTGATGCATTAGAAAAATAAAAATAAAAATAAAATGTATGTTCATATAACTTGATTGTAAAATTATAATACACATTGTAAAAATAGGGATTTCTATTGATTCCTGCCTCTCTCTTCCAAGAAACTCTTGCACCTGAAAGCACCTTTCACGTCCTTTCTTTCTCCATCTTTCTCCGTCTCTCTTGCAGTGCACAAAGGCGCAAGACCTAAACTTGATTCCAGTTTTTTAACTTATTTATATTTTATTTACAGAAATTATTTATAGAGGTTTTTTTTCTTTTTCTTGTTTTCATTTTTCTGCCCTAAACTAGATTTTAGTTTTCTGTTTTGTTTTTTTTAACACATGGATAGTGTTTTTATTTAGATAAACTTTTTTTAGATGGTTGCTTTATAGTAGTTCATTCACAGAAATTTACATTGGAAAAGGGAGTTAAATAAATAAATAAATAATCTTATGAGACCCTCAAAATCCTCTGTAGTATTTGTATGGTATAGTATTAAGAATTTCTCAAAAAAATGTGCCAAACGAGTTTAATTAGAGGACAAGACCAAAGTATCTTGAAACTTCTTTATTTGTTCAAATTCAAAGTGCGTTCCTTACTGTGTGAGGTGTTCAAAGGAAGTTACTGTGACTTTGTGGATGATTGAGCAAGACGTTGAGGCATTGGATGGTTCCATAGCCCATGTAAGAAAGGTAGTAAAACGTTTATTAGAAGATTGCCTACCAAAGAAGAAGAGAAGAACAATGGAGCCAACATTAAAAAAAAAAAACCCATGAACCCCCAATACTTCAAAGTCATGCTCTTGCTTCATGTGCAATTTTCTAATTGTTTTCATTTGTAATTTTCTAATAAATTCAGATGGTTTGAAGAATCAGCCATTCACTCATTGATTTAAAATAAGAAAATAAATAATAATTTTAAATGAAAAACAAGAAGTAAAATAATAAAAGGAATTATTTTAATTTATATTTCTTATTTTAAATAATAACTATTACTTTTATTAGATTGCAAAATTTTACATACAATCTGAATTCCATGCAACCATACTAGTGTACTTATCTCACTGAACTGCATGCAACCATACTAGTGTATTTATTTGAGTGAAGTACATGCAACTATACCACTTGTACTCCATCCAACTATATCATCTTACCATATCTGAGTTTTGGTTGTGGTTTGCCATTATGCTCTCTGTGGATATTCCAAACAAACTTAGATATTCGTTGTGGTTGTCCGTATATTTCAAATAAACTTAATACTAACTCTTATTAAATCCATTGTATTCCACAAAGTCCAGAAACTATACATGAAAAAATTATAAATTTGGAGTCTACCATCAAAACAATCGTATAATTTGTTCAAATCTTAATGAAAAGTCTAGAAACATGAAAAACTTACAAATTTGGAGTCTACAATAAAAAAAATCAAGTAGTTTGTTCAAATCGTTTAGGTTCTTTGTGAAATAGTACAACTGATAGAAGTTCCTAAATTATTCGGAAAACTTTAAAACCTACATAATTGAAAACCTTTAAAACCAAATGATTATTACATTAGTATTTTAAATGATTACTAAATTAGTATTTTGTAGGTTAACTCCACAAAAGCAAATTTAAATACGAGATAATTGCTATACTGTTTTTAAATTAGTATTTTGTAGGTTAACTCCAAACTTGGTTACTAGGAAATGCACTATTTCGTCTCCTCCAATATCTTAATATATTTGGTTTCTAATTCGCTAAACAGATTTTTTTCTAATTTTTTAATCTAGCCTCACAAATTAACTAGAAGTTATATATAGAGATGCTCAAAAGGCTTTTATAAAAAACAATAAATTTTTTTTTATCACAATAGAAGTATGTTATTCTAAATAAAAAATTATCACACTAAAAGTATGTTATTCTAAAGTCTTGTCGTATTGAAAGCATGTGATTCCAAATAAAGAGTTAAATGCAGGTTAAGCAATTTCATATGTCCTATACGCTTATAAATTAAAATTATATGCCAGAAGGGTTGTTATTTGCATCACATTTTTGCTAACTAAAACATATAGTTGTAGAGAGTAATAACAATAGTCAAAATTAGCAATCCCTAACATTATTTTTGAGGAGTACTATCCACCCCACTCATCCGCGTTTTAAAACAATGGCTACCACTTTCGTACCACCATGAAATTGAAATTTATTGCTACCATATCTATCTCATAACGCTTGTAATCTGCAACTATATTATATAGCAAAACCAAAAGATACGTAGTATTCAACTTTAGCACTTAATTAAAACACTATAAACTATTATATACTATATTAAATTATGATCCGGCAACAATTTAAATAGAGAAAGAGTATCTTTTTCAAGAGAATTGAAATAAACTTCTAGCTTCTAAAGAGTGTGGACAAACAAGGAGCTAGAAAAAGAATTAACTCCAATTTAGATGGTTTTGATTTTTTTTTTTGTGAAAAAACTTTGAAATCGGCAGCGTCTATAAGCATCTCTTGTTTCCTTCTCTACGTTGTACTTCCTAAATATTTTTTTAAATCATAGAGGGAAAGACTCCAATAAGTGAATTAGAATATTAAGGGTCAATTAAAAAAAAACGAAAAAAAGAAGAAGAAGCAGAGTGACCCTCAAGTGAAGGAGGATGGGTTTAGGTTGATAGAAACCAAATTAGAAATTTATTTCTCTCCGTTACTCCCTATCTCTTCCTACAAAATTCCTAAAATATCTATTTAACCAAAAAGAATTCCTATAATCTATAACCAAATTTTTTTTTTTAGAATATGTGCACCCTAATATATCTTACTAAAATGTGGGAAGAGATGTTGACACACCAATCTAATTTTTAGCTTCATAATATTTTACGTGTAGAAGCCAAAGAAAATAGGAAAGGGAGAGATAAGAAATAAAAAAAGAGATAAATGCCCTGAATTACTTTACTTAATGTCATGTATCCTACAACCACTCTAAGAATAAGGTCTGCCTTTATTCTTATACTGGCCTACCCTTAACTTGTGAGTCTCTAACTATTCCAACAGAGAGAGAGCTTTCTGTAGAGAATTCATATCTAACTTCTAGCTTCTGTTGAGGGTGAGGAGACAAAATGAGCTATAAAAAGAAACAACTCCAACTTAGTTGGTTTTAGAAATTTTTTATGCAAGAGCTTAATGTAGACAACCAACATAAAATCTCGAGAGACGCACGAAAAATGATTTATAAGAAGGAAAAAGTTTATATAAGGATGCAACTTTATAATGTAGAACTATCGATGTACCTCAAAAATACATCGAAAAAGGTAGTTTTAACGTTGAAAAACCCTTTGATTGATCATTTCGACATCGAGATGTATGACCATGAAATATAAAAAGATTTTAAGTCTCATAAATAGTACATTTTACAACATATTATCTACACTGTCCATTTTCAAGATTTTCATATGTTTATAGATCTACTTGATTTTAACCATTTTTTAAAATTTAAAATTTTATAATTAGATATAAAAATAGATTTTGAGATATTCATAAGAACATTTTACATCAAAATTATATATCATGATACAATTTGAAGGTGCACCTTACCTCTACAGCTACGGATGCATCCGTATGCCAACTGCATCCATGAGAATCTCTTCTTTCTTTCTCTATGTTGAATTTATGAAATATTTATTTATATAGGATTGCTAAGCATAGAGGAAGAGGCTCCCATGCATGAAACTGTATATATTAAAGGGGTGTGGTTTTTATAAGGTTGCAACAGTAAACAATCCAATTAAGGTGCACCTCTAAATTTGATCATAATATGTAATTTTGATGTAAAAAAATTCTTAGGATTATCTTAAAATCTATTTTAATCTCTAATTATAAATTTTGAAGCTCCAAAATTGGATAAAATCAAGTAAATCTATAAACATAGGAAAATATTGAAAATGAACGGTCTAGATAATGTGTTGCAAGATGCACTATTTCTAGGACACAAAATCTTTTTTTTTTTTTTCATATTCCTACATCTCGATGCCGAGATGATCAATTAAAGGGTTTTTCAAAATTAAAACAACCTTTTCCGATGGATTTTTGAAGTATATATGTAATTCTACATTTTAAGATTGCAACCTTATATAAATTTTTTCCATATTAAAATGCCACAAAAAAAAAGAAAAAAAGAAAAAGAAAAGAGAAACAAGAGGATAGGTTTAGATTGGAAAGTCTATATTCTCTCTCTTGCTTCATATCTCTGGGAGAAAAGGTCCTCTTTTGGAAGATAAAAGAAACTTGATCTAACTTATTTTAATATTAACAATCTAGAATGCAATTTCTGCCCACCACTTCTAACAAAACAACAATCATCAAGCCGAATTACCAATTTTCAGAAGACCCCCTCAAGATCATGAATTTTATGAGCTACTTAATCACATGTGCCTTATGGCCTCATATTTCATCAAAGGATCTAGCATTGATAGAATATGAGAAATATTCTAATAAATTCCCTTTATTAATGTGGAAAAGGATTAAATATACAACCCCAATATGTACAACCAGATGACCCAAACAACCCAAACAGGGGATTTGCATGACATGGATTCCATTAAGAAGTTATCCAAAGACCTAATAATTAGGTTTTTCCATAATCAAGCATGATACCCAAAACCTGAGTTTGGGTACACAGGGAACTAAACGACCCACTACTACTCCTGGTTTCGACCAAAACCCTAGGAGCATTCATATTAGTACTACCAATAACATTGGAAGGACACCTTTTCAAAAGGAATATGAAAGAGTGAGACTTGATTGTAACCAGAGGTGTCAATGCTAATAGACCTGTAAGGTGAAGTGATGGTGGTGTCGCTTGCTTGCTGATGATCTCCCCAAACTTTCGATCTCTCTCATTTTTGTGATTAACCTCCCAGTAGTGTTTTGAATGAACGAGTTTAAGCGAGAACCATGTTTCATGTACCTCTTGTTGGAGATGGGAATGAAGTTGGGAAGTGACGGTAGTCAATCCCCAACAACAGAATGAATCGAAAGAGATGGAAGAACCTGGACCCTGCTGTTGCTGGTAGTGATGATTTCCAGAAAAGCTTGTTCATAAGTCATAACCATATCTATCTTTTAGGTGTTTCTGAATAAGTGCGTGCAAAATGAGACGAACGTGTTGCTGAAATAATGTTAAAAAATTGTGCAATTACTGTTTAATGGATTGCTTTTAAATCCTTTGGCAACATATCTATGTCAGATTTGTGATGAGCTTATCCCAACTATTTGGTATCGGCTACATAGTTTGAAAATATTGAGGTATTTATTGGTCATTTTAAAATGTTTGAGGTTTATATAAGGTGACAATCTCTTTGTAGATTTGCAATGTTCTACGGTTTTAGGTGGTAATTTTAGAAGTTTGTTCTAAGCTATCTATTTTATTTAGTTAGGCCAAAAGATTTTATACTCTTGAGGAAGCATGTTGTCCATTTACTCCCTTGGGCAAAATCAATCTAAGAATATTTTTAGGAACCCAAATTTTGGGGATATAATAACTTCTTTAGCCCATATGCTATGCTCAATAAAATAAAATAAGAATTCCAAATTCCATTCGCTATGTGCTTCAAGAAGATAATGCCTTAAGATCGCTAGAAACGGGAGAGATCAAAGTATTGGACAACTCAATTCAAATTTATTCTTTTGAATATAATTATCTAGTGATTTTTATGTGTTTTCTAATATTTTGGATAAATAAATCTTCCCAAAGTTCATCTTCTGCCCGAGGAAGTAAATATACAGTGCATGCTCCCGTAGGAGCATAGTGTATACACTTGATTATGTAGATTTGATAGCTTTTAAGACATTATCAAAATTTCACATCTTTAAGACAGTATCAAGTCTACAAAATCCAATTAAAAAATAGAGGATAAATAATCAACCATACTCATACTTCACATGAAGTTAACGACTTCTGAAAAATATCGTCAATCCGGTTTTTCCCGCCACGTATTGAGGGTATACCTGTTATTTGTAGGAGAACAGAGGGCTTTGTTCGTCCACAACGAGGTTGGGTGACCTGGATATTTTTTTAAAAGTTGGGGTTTCCTTACTTTAATTTGTGCGCCTGCCTGTTCACGGAAAATTGACTCCCAGGAATCTCTCTCACTAACTTGCCTCTTTGGAGTTTCTCTCTCTAACTTACGTCTTCGAAATCTCTCCCTGAGTGTTTTTTTGTGATCCGTGTATTACAGTCCCTGTCTCTCTCTCTAACTGGCCTCATCGGAATCTCTCTTCCTCTCAGTTTTTTTTTCTGATCAGTTTGTTACAGTCCCTCTCTCTCTCTCTCTCATATTTGTGTATATGTGAGCCGTGTCCCGCATAATTCGAGCTTGAGGTTAGGGTTTTCTTTCCATTTCCTCGTGCTATCGTTTGTCCCTGTAATTGGAACTTTATTTCTGATATGTGGTCGATCTTCAATTTTCAGGAAAAAGTTCTATTTGCTTTGATAGGTTTCGCCTTCCCTTACACGGTACCTCATAGTAAGGATCGCTTATTTCTCCATTTTAATTTGGCTGTTTATTTATCTCTGACATTAATCTGGACATGGAATTTGATCATGGCTTCGACTTCCTTTTGATCGATCCAAGTGGAAGATCTTTTCCGCTCATTTTTATTTGTGCTGATCTTTGAATTATGTGCTTCATCCTGGTATTCCATATAAAAGTATTGCTCAAGAAACTCAAACCCTGCATTTTTTATGTTGATTGGTCTGGTTCTACTCTCTCAGGAGATGGAGATGGAATTGCTGGGTATGAATTTCACCTGCGTGTTTAACTCGCTTGCCCACGGAACTTTCCCGCACACTGACTGCTTACTGCCTCTCATCTCCAAAGTCCTCGGCTACTTGATCGTGGCTGCATCTGCCATTGTCAAACTCCCCCAGGTAATTCTCTCGCTCCCTCTCTATCTCTCTCAAAACTTCAAAACCATTAATGGCACTTAACAAAAGCATGACCCTGAACCAAGAGAGCAATTAATTTCAAGCCAAGCATCTGTGCTGATAAAACGTTAATTTGCTGATTGATATATTTGTATATACATTGGTAAAGTTTCAGTTGGTGAGATGTGATGTAGGTTAGTGAGTGACTTTTTGAATTTGATTGCTAACAAATATCATTAAAGTTGATTTTTTTTTTATATGATTAGATAGAAAACTCGTGGGATTGGAGTAGGATTGGAGTGGAATTACCCTTGGTTATTTGCTTTTGTCCTTGTTGGCGGTTGTTTTTAATTAGCGATAGGCCAAATCTTGCCTAGGAAAGTCAGTAGAATCAACCATGGAGTCATTCATCCCTAGGGCACAGCACTGCATATGCAATGCCAGCATTTGTATTGACGCTGGCTGAGCTCCCTTAGCGTGCTTCAGAAACTCTTCTACAATGTTGTCCTTCAACATTTGTTGCTCTAGATACTAGCGAGAAAAAAACATTTGTAGCTCTCTACATTCTATCCTTCCATACATGGTGCATGTGCCAAGTGTTATCAGGATCCGACCGACCACCAAGCAAGTGAGGGTCTGGTATAATTAAAACATGTCTGATCATCAGTCGAACCAATTAGATTGGGTCTTAAAATTATAAAGAAAATTTATGAATAATTTACAAAAAACGTTGTTCAACTTTTTTGGCTGGGTTAACTGGTCAAAACTACCCAGTTGGATTGGCCAATTACTGACCAAACCTAGTTTTTAAATTGGACCTGACCAGCCCAAGTAGAGGTCGGTGGTCTGACTAGTCTAATCAATTGATCTGGTCCAGTCTTAATGACTATGCGCATGCCTATTGATTCTCGCTCATATAACTTGGCACCCCCATGGCCACATGAAGTAGATCATTTATAAAGGGACAATAAGATCAGAGGCAGAAAAATGTATAATCAGCTGAGCCTAGCTTATGCCTGAAACTATGATGACTCTAAAGCAACTAGATTAAATTCCAAATTCAGTCACAATATCCCAACCTATTACCATAATGTTTTATTTGTACTCCATTATTCCACTGTAGTTTTCCTCTAGCCCCACTGTGGAAAATCTGGCTCAATGTTTGTTGCCTGAGTGTGCAGTCGGTCATTAATGCCATATACCATAAGTTGGCAACCAAAGAACTATTCTCGTAATGCCCATTTTTCCTTTCTGTTTTTTTGTGTAACAACACATCTATCAAAGCGGGCTAGTGTCTGAGTTTCCACAAAGAACTGAAAACTATGGCCTTTATGTTCCTCAGAATTGTCTGTGACTTCGATGCATTTTTTGTCTATACCCAAATAACTTTGAATCCTCGTAATGTTGAAATCTTTAGATATTTATGTTCTTTCATTTGGAGTGTTGGATGAATTTTTTGCACTTTTAGACTATGGCCAGCATTATTGTTGTTGACATGGTATAGATGTTGAGGACTTGGTGATATCAATTCCTTTAACAGTTTGCAGATTTCCTCCCTAAGATACTCTTCTAACTCATGCTTGGACATAATTCTAATAGCCTGCAGGGAAATCTTTGAATTTACTGATTACCCTCTGGCCAATATGCTTGAGATTATTGGGTAATTCAGTTATCAAACTCAAATCTCTTTTATTACCTGCTGTATCAGAGAAAAGCGGCATCATGCAAATTCCTCTTGCAGATTTTTTCTCTTCTGATACTTTTTTATGGAAGGAGAAAGATACTGAAGATTTGATTGAACTATTTCTGTTATTTGTGGCAATTGATGACATTGAGTTGCTTTTTATTCAGGCACTGTCATTATTATTCTACAAGTGACTCCTAGAAATCCTCTGTCTAAGCTAATACTTTTCCCAGGATTGGACTATAGTCGCCACTTTGCGAAAATGGCCTAAATCTTCTAATAGAAAACAAATGTAAATTTGCAAATTTTTTTCTTCTCATCATCAATTCACACATGATAGCATTAGGAGAATTTCATCCCTCTGAAATTATTATGAAGCTTGAACTTTTTGTTTGCAGCTATACATAATTGTGAAGAATAAGAGTGTTAGAGGGCTCAGCGTTGTATCCTATGAACTTGAGGTCATTGGTTATACTATTGCTTTAGCATATTGTCTTCACAAAGGTCTTCCTTTTTCAGCTTACGGAGAGCTTGTATTTCTACTGTTGCAAGGTAGATTCATATATTTAATAAAATTTCAGCTGTTTCCTCTTGGTAGTAGGGCATTTGCTTTTTTATTAATGTTCATAAAAATATTTGTGTTTGAGTTGGAGTCATGAATGGATCTCTCACAGAACTTCACATGTTTTGGTTGTGACAGGGATTATTTTGGTAGGACTCATATATTACTATTCTGGTCCTTTGGGACCCACAACTACAATAAAGGCAGCAATGTATCTTACATAGTTGTTCTCAAGAAGCTATTTTTGACATCGTAAATTAGAATACAATTCTCAATTTCTTGTATTCAATATCATTTTGAAAGCATTCTTATGCTTGTGGAAATATACTTTGACTTAACCGATGGCTTATTAGATATTGTGCTCTAGCACCCACCATTTTAGCTGGTGAGATCAATCCAGTTCTTTTCGAAGGCCTCTATGTGAGTTCTATATCTTATTATCTGCTTTCTAGGACTATAGTTGCATTTATCTGTCATTTGCTGTACAATAGAATTTATGAGAGAGAGTTTAGTCTGTAGAAAAGTTCTATTCTTGGAATAAAACTGCAGTTTTGTCCAATGCAGAAATTATTTGTAAGGAGTTTCTTATTGTGTGCTTGTACTGGAGAATGTTTTAGCAGTTTTCTCTAATGTGATACTATTTGGTACAGGCTTCTCAGCATGCAATATTTTTCTTTTCCAAGATTCCACAAATATGGAAGAACTATACTGTAAGTACTGTAAGCTCTTTAGAAGTAGGATTTGGTAGGTTTCTTCTTACTAGGAATACATAAGACTATCTTTGCATCATGCAATGCTATTTAGTACCATTTCTGTCGACATTATAGAGAAGTTGGTGTCCATGCTTGTCCCAATCATGACAGGCCACCAAATACCATGCAACCAAAATACTTTGGTCGTGTTACCTGCTTAGTTCTGAACTAAAATGACAGTTTGTTTTGAGTTGATCAATTCATCTAAAAATTGAGACATGAAATATAAAGAACAAGTTCTTGACAGAATTAGGAAAAACAATTTCATTTGCATACTTTAAACAATTTCATTTGCATACTTTGTGCATGACATTATGCTGAAAAAAAAAATATAACAATAATGCAGCAAGCTGTTTTATATTCCACTCCTGACCTGAACAATTACAGTATTTTGACTCATTCTTCACTGCTATACAGGCATCCTCATATTATATCAGAAAGTTATATAGCTTTCTTTTCCCTGAATTTGGGAATCTTTTCTCTATTAGCCATAAAACCGAATCCTTTTCGGCTTCCATCTTGGCAATGAGGTTGCCTGTTCTCTTGTATTGGTTTCTTGAGTAAGAGGGAAATGAGCTACAAAACATCCCCTTTTTCTAGACATATTGTCTCAAATTTTAAGCTAGTGCTACTAATTTTCGGGGTTCAGTGGACAAAACTGGCATTTCTGAGTACTTTGTTGTTTAGTTGCCAATAGGGGTCTGAATTGCTAGGTGTTAATTGTTGTGGTATTTTATTTCTTTCCTTTTGTATGGAGACTGTTGAATAACTGTAGTAACCAGATCTCATAGGGTTGACTGTTGAGTAAGTTGATGAAGAGTGGCTGTCACTGCTAAGGTGTTCATCCTTCCAAACAAAGTTGTTTATTTCTTTGTGAAAAGGAAAAGCAAAGGCATTTCTTATTGATTTTCTGGATTCATAAGAAACTGTTTTCTTTAATATTCTAATTCATTGATGAGCTAAAGACGCACTAGACCAGAAAAGTTCTGATCTGCAGTTAAACCTTTCTTGCTACTCTTCCTAAGATACCAGCAAGGGAGTGGAATTGCAAGTGATGGCGTCAAGTGACTGCAGCAGAATGGAGGAAGGAAGGTGGCTAGGTGGAGAATGCCTAGGGGCACAAGACAACTCTCTCTAAGGAACTCGACAAAAGAGTCCAGTAACTTCAGGAGAAGGGGTGCCTCCTCACGAAGGGGGTTACAATGACTAGGCCCTGACAATTGTTTACCGAAAACACAGGTCTCCGCAAAGTTGTGAGGCAATGTGCTGGGGGTTATGCCTGCCCAGTGCTCGAAGTTCAACGAAGTTGGTGACCTGATGATAGGTGGGCCGGCATCTGGAGCCTTGGTGAGCGACGCTACCCCTTCGTTCCTTCCTTAGAAGAAAGATTAAGGAATGAGTGGATGAAGTAGATAGATTGGTCCAGTTGTACTTATCCTCTCTTTTCCAAACATGAGAAGAGGTCTTGCTTGTTCAAACCAGCAAGCCTAACACTCAACCTCCCAATATGAACTACTAACCTGCTCTATAACCCTTTCAACTTGAAACCTGAACTCAAACATTGAAAACTGTGAAGGCGAGAGAGATATGGAACTATTGGTGGAGGTTGTTCATTGAGGTTGGAACTCTTAGTCTCAGTTTTTGGTTTACATCGCGAAGCCTGCATAAGATTGCTTAGGTGGTCTGGCCATGTATGGTGCAAACCCAATACAACACCTATTAGAAGATGTGAGTTAGTTCAAGTGGAAGGCTCAAAAAGGGCAAGGGATAGACCCAAAAGGACATGGTTGGAAGTAGTGAGAAAAGATATGGGGGCTTATGACCTCACTAAGGGTATGACTCTTAATAGAGCAGAATGGCGGATCAGGATTCGTGTAGCCGATCCCAATTAGTTGGGACAAGGTTTTGATCATGATGATTGTGAAGCCCGCATAAGATCTTGTTCCTTTATTTGTTCCCCTAGTTCAAGTGGTTGGAATCCTGTTCTCGCCTTCCTGGGTGAATAACAGGCCATCGATAACTTGGGCTTGCCCATAGATTGAATTACTTGCCGAATCAACCGGTTCATCCTGCAAGCTCGACCAGCCCTTGCTCCTAGAGATCAATGCAAGAGTTGCTGGTTGATGACTTTATGTATTTGATTTCTATCTCAATCATTCTGGTTTGGGAATAAGCATTATGAATTTGCATTTCTGCTCTTTCCAGATTATTCTTATGCATGTCCAAAACGATAAATGTAAGTGTGATTCTTGCTAGGTAATATAGAAGTCCTGATTGAAGATTTTCTGACAAATTTGACCAAGCAGAATAAAAGCACTGGGGAGCTCAGCTTTTTGACAAGTTTCATGAACTTTGGGGGTTCCGTTGGTGAGTTTTACCTGGTGCCTGTTGCTTGTTGTGTAAACTACATGTTAAGGTGAATAGTGATGCTTATTTACTTCTTTCCTTAATGGTTGGTTAAATTTAGTTGGTTCTTTCATTTTCAGTGAGAGTCTTTACAAGCATGCAGGAGGGAGCTCCAACAAGTAGTATCCTTTTGATTTCTTCTGTGCAGTATTTGTTTGGTTTTCCAAGGTCCTTTCATGTAGATTGTCTAAATAAATGGCATTTAACTAGCCCTAAGTAAAGTATTCTCATGCTTTTGCATTCTCATTTTTTGTACAGTGATCTAACTGAATTCAATTTCTAGTTGTTTTGTTTTCCTTTATCATATTGATAATAGCTACTTTTCTTGTATTTTATTGTGGATTAAACAATGCCCTTCTTATTAGTTTTTCTCTTTCAATGTTGGTATAAAATGTTGCCTTTTGTGCTGTTTATTGTATGCTACATCAATTGGTGGGTTCTGTTTGGTACTCTCTTGTTGTTACCTTTGTCGGTGTCAGGACGTTCTTCTAACATAAATCTTCAAAAATTCTACATTTTTTACCCTACATTGATACTGCAAAAATGTAATGAAGCTTTCATGTGCCACTTGAAATTGTGTAACAAAATTGAGAAGCATGGATGGCTGCGGTGTCCGACCACAATTACTTTTAGTTTTGTGAAACTCACGTGATTATCTGCAAACTTTATAATAGTTGTCTGCTTCGTGTACTCTTACAGCTGAAACTCTAAATAAAATAAAGGATCAGTATGCCACTTGTTGTATGTGATACATTTATGATATATGGAAGCTTAAGGAAATTTCACATATAAGATACATGAAGTTTATTAGGAAAATTAGAATTGACACTCATCGTTAAGTTGATGATCCAGCCTTGCATTGAGTACTTGTTTGAGAGAGGGATGTACATTTATATGGAAGATGCTTTTGTTAAGGCATCGTCAACCTTTTATTATTTAAATATAATGTTGATTTACCATATATTTTTTTGTTATTTTTCATGGTATGGTGCTAGTCATCTCAATGTGTTGAGTTTCTGCTAGGAAACATAAGCCTTAGTAAATGGTTCACCATGCTCTTGTAATCACAATTCTGTGGTTCTTGACACCTGATCAATTCCATATTGTCAAGTAGATTCATGAAACATATCATCTTCTATGTTGTTGAATACTTCCCTAAATTGGGATTGGGCATTTGAATTTGACAATTCTATTTATTAGCTCTCCCTAGTGTGCTGCCCAATCTGCACTGGTGAATTAGGTTCTTTCTTGTCTCTGGGTTTTTATGAAATGGATCATTGGATCATAGGTTCTTACTGTTCACATAGTTATGCCACCTTTACATTGTTCCACAATTTGCTTAGCAAGACTGCCTCAGATCATCAAATTGGCTCTTTTTTATTTTTACAAGATTGCTTCTCTTAAAAAATACAAATTAGGAGTTTCTTAAGATGACTGTTCTGGGGAAGGGACTTGGAAATGAGAAGTGAAAGTCAGTAGTTGTGGTTGAAATATTTTTTTTCCAGTTGATGAAGGTAGATGTACTACTAAGTAGTTAGGCAGGTGCATTATTCTTGATTTGTTCCTTTGTTGCGAGAGCCTTGCTCTTGGATTTTGTTTTTTTTTTCTTCTTTTCCAAACTAGTGATCTCATGGCAATTCTTAAGCAACCGTAAGTTGTCTCTTTACTAGGACCTCTTGCTTTTGCTCCTATGGAGCAGAGACAGTTTAGAGGTTCTTCCTCATTTCAGACTCTTATCAGTAAAGCAGAATAAAATGAAAGACGAAGGGCCTGTGGCATGTATGCCCCTAAATCAAGGGATATTTGTTGCAATTCTTTAATCTGCTGGGCTTATAGAATACTAGAGGTTTGCAATGTCTTTCCTTGTGATGATGTCTCAGGGAATTTAGGGTATTCATATTTGTTGTTATTTCTCTATTGTGTTTTAGCAAATTGTTATTTGAAGGAGGGAGTTTGGAACAAAAGGAGGTGGATGAGCAGTTGGGGCTATTGAGGCCTCATTCTGCGGTGCCTGTGGTAAAGTTGAAAACTGCTTTCTGGATTTTGCTTTCCATGGAATACATAAGTTCAGACTCATCTGATTTGCATAAGACATAAGAGTTAAAGACTTTTTCACGTTGGTAAAATTTAGACTTACTATATACCCTGACCCACTATTTTGATGAGTTTACTTAACTCAGGCTTGTCCCCAATCAGTTTAATTGAGTCATCATATAAAATGGATTTGAATGATCTCGTATTAGTGGTATTGTGATTATTTTGGTAGTTGTTGATTCTAGCAAGACAAAACTAAAAAATTTTTAATGTGATTTTTTATGTAAGGATTTTCCCTCCATTCTCGACTCATTTGTTGATCTGTGAAGGAGCTTTTTAAGGGGTGGAATTTTGTATTCTGTGCTTTTCTTCTTGGTCAGAGTTGAACTTTTATTGTTAGGGGTCATGAGAGTAGAGTGAATCAGGATTTTGGAGTTTTGAATTAATGTAAGGAGCATCGATCTATTACTTATTGTCTGTTTTCTTCCAAACTTTGGTTTCTTCTAATTTTCTTCCTTATCAATCAATCCATTATTGAGCTTTGATATTCTCCTTAACCTGGTTAAAGTGATTCTTGGCTCTGTGAAAGCTGCTTTGCTGAATGGCACGATAATGACTCAAATTATAGTCTATGGAAGGCAGAATTCGAAGAAAGAGAAGAAACTTGATTGAACACATTTATGCTTTAATTCGTACTGAAGGTTAAGAAGAAGTACTTGCCATGGTTGAGCAAGCAGCACCGTTATTGAACTGGTCTTCCAAGTGCAAGACTGGCTGGTATCCATTCTTTTACCATGACGGATGGGCTTTTGTAGTGAATTTAGTTCAAATGAGCGTATTCACAGGTGGTTTCACTGCGTGGACTCTCCCTTTATTTTCATCAAACCCTTTGCTAGTGGAAACAATGGCCCTGTGAATTATTTTCTCACTCAGATAAGTTCTAAAGTAAAAGAATATAAGTTTGGTTTTAATTAGTTCAAAGTTTTTCTTGTGCTCCTCTTTCTTTTTCCAGATCCATGGTCGTCTTTTTCCAGATCCATGGTCGTGGAGGTCGAGATGATAAATCTGTGGTGTTTTGGATCATCAATCATTTCCCACATGGATTTGGATACGAAATCTCTATTGTAAGAGATCCCTGTCGACCAACCTGATTTCTCATGTTTGATTTATAGGAAAGTGGTGCCTAGATTATCTCATAAGCTCGTCCCATTATACAAAATAGTGCTATGCTATGAGATAGTGATTTTTCTCGGAGTTCAGTCTCTATTTCAGTTGAACCAAATGTGTCCTAAGAGTGGATCTTTCACATGAAGCTACCGAAGTATCAAATTTCATATTTATATGATTTGTAGAAAAGAATAAAAAATAAAATACTATGGGACATCAAATTTAGGTGAAACAGTTAGTGGATTACTTGTGACATTTTGAGACAAGTTGCTTGAGCTGCCCATTTAAATTGGACGGCTGGATAAAGTAGGTAAGATGTATAATGCAGGAAGTATAAGAATTTTTTCTATTAATATAGGTAAAACTTTCAAATTTTGAACTGACTTTTTAAACAAATGATATTAATTTAAAATAGGAAAAGTTTATATAAGGTTGCAATCTTAAAATGTAGAATTAAGGTGCACACAAAAAATCCATCGTAAAATACTTCTTTGAAGTTGAAAAGTCTTCTAATTGATCATCTCGATTTTGAGGTGAATGAATATGAAAAACAAAAAAGATTTTGAGTCTTAAAAATAATCCATCTTGCAACATATTATCTCGATCTATTTTTAATGAAATGTGTTTATAAATCTACTTAATTTGAATCATTTTTTTAATCTAAAATTTTATAATTAGAGATGGAAATGGATTTTTAGTACATCCCATAAATTTTTGTCACTAAAATTATAACTTATGATAAAATTTGATGGTTAAGGTTGCAACCTTTTGTAAACCAAACCTTTATGAAAACCAGACCTATTATAAAGTAAAGGATGAAGTTTTAGAAAGGAATCCCCCGATATCCAACTCTATGATACTTTCCTAGTTCGGATTTTGTCTTTTTAAAAGAATTTATGTCATATAATAAAAGAAGGGAAAATGACCTCTGCGCCCTCTCCAAAATTTCTGTCCTTAGGATCCTTTGGGTTGATGATGCAAGGAGATATAATAAATCGGAAGAATAGAATTATAAAATAAAAAAAGATTGAGAGAATGTACCTTATCTCAAAGTCTCCAAAATGATATTTTCATAATATTAAATTTACTCAATTCTCATTCTCTAATCTTTCCATATCTCTCTAATTTCCACGTAGAGATAAACATTTAACACCTACATGAAGATAAAATTTCTCTCTTGATACTATTGATAAAAGGTAACAAAAAAAATGCCTCATCTACCCATTACTTTCTATCTTTTAAAAGATAAAACTCTCCGAAACTACCTTTTTATATCTCATGATTTTCTATATTTGAAGATAAAGCTCCCAAAACAAAAATGTGGAGTTATTATTATTAATATTTACCTAAAAAACCTCCTAAAATTCTAAAAATAAATATCTTTTATGCCCTAAAATCTCTAAAACAAAAAAAGTACAAAATAACCCTAAATAAATTAAAAATCTAAATAACACCAAATCTAAAATAAAAAATATATAAAAATAAAAATAGAAAACCCGATTTTTTTATTTGCAATAATGCATCAAAATCCTTTGTACTCCTCAAAGCAATAATGCACAAAAATCCCTTCTACCCGTCAAGTTTAAAGCTTTGAAACCATTAGCCTCCCAATTATGTTTTGCTTTGTTCTTTTTACAAATTTGATATTTTTGTTTTACAAAATGCCAAACCTATACATTAGCCATCTTTTTTATTTGGTGACATATATATAAATTTTATTGATGATGATGATGACAATAACAACAACAACAACAATATATTAATTGTTAAATAATTCATATAAATTTTTTTAATAAATGAATAAATAAATAATAATAATTCATTAACAATAATAACAAAGATCTTGATTATTCATTTTTCAAATTAAAAAAATATTGACTCAATTGTATAATAGGTCATAATATTAAAGAAAATTTCATTTTCTTTTCAAGTCTAAATTTGTAGAGTGGGTCGACCCCGACGGAGGTAATTGGTTTTGGGCAACAGGACGAGGAAGGGAAAGGAGTTAACTGATAGATGGATATGGCATTTTGTAAAACAAAAAGATCAAATTCATAAAAAGAAAAAAAAAAAACAAATTGGAGAGGCTATCGGTCCCAAGTTTCAAACTTGAGGGGTACAGGGGACGTTGGTGAACAAGAGATTAATAAGGATGGAAATTTCGAAGAGGGGTAAGGGAGATTTTCCCTTAAAATAATTGAAGTTTCCATTATTTTTAAATAATTTTTCATTATAACAAAATCCCTAAGTGTAAATAATTTTGTTTTAAAAAATAATTAATCTCAAGAGACTTGAAATCTTTCGAAAGGTATGAGACGGATTTGAAATAGAATCCTGGAAATAACTGGACTGGAGTTTGAGATAAATCAACTGACTATGTTTAAAAATAGGGATATTTATGGAAAATTTGAAGTTATTCTTTTTAGAGAGTAGTTCTAGAAAAAATTAGAGAGTGATGGAAAATAATTGAACCTTCATATCTTTTAGGGCAAGATGAGAAAGCAAAGTCAGATAATAAAGATCTTCCCAAAAAAGGGTGGGGAGGGGGAGGGGGAGAGGGAGCAACGTTGCAGCTGTTATCCTCTTCTTTGTTTTTGTCTTCTGTGTTTCCCTTCATTCACTCAATAGAACTTTTAATTACCATTAAAAAAAAAAAATTTGATGGAAAGTAATTTATAATTCATGAACTTATTTATTGTTGTGATAATTGTTAAACTCCTCATAGATAAGGTATCCTATGGACATTGGCAAAATATCTCAATAAAACAACCCTTCCGCAATAAAAGTATTTTTCCTACTACTTTGGTATTCCTATGTAAATATCTCTGACGAATATCTATCTTAAATATGGATTTATTTAATAGATATGATAATATGCAAGGACTTAAAACTGATTGCTGTTAAATGATAAAAACAAAAATATTTTAAAATGATAAAAAAAATTTAATTGGTTTAGTTTCAAAGTTTAAAATTCATTTTTTTTTTTTCATATTCATGATCTGAGTTATGCTTATCTATTAGTAAAATTATAAGTTCAAAATACATCTCTAAGATCATTTTGAAAGTGAGCATGTTTGAATAGGTGACTGAAATGAGAGATCAAACCCCATTTCAGTACTTGATTTACATATCCTGGTCTTTATGATAGTTTGTTTTTTAGAAAATTTACGGAAAATTTTTGTTTTATTTTCAAATTTAAAAGTAGTTCTTTTTTATTTCAGTTTTTGCAATAAAGTCTCAGTATATAATGTATTTTACTTTATATTTTAAATTCAGATTAAGCTTGAATTTTGTATGCTAGTTCTTGTAGTCATGCACCAGTAGAAAATATAAAAATTAATTTTAAATAATTAAAATTACTAAAATACCCTGAATATTGTAGGGTTATATTGGCTAATTTTTATTTTAATTTATGTAAATATCCATTTTGGTTTCCATTATTACTAAAATACCGAATATTTTATATGTCCGTTTTTTTGGACTTGATAACAATTTTGTAAAAAAGATGAACTACCCATTTTTTATTTTTCAAAAACCCAAATCAAGTAAATTTCGGTTGTTGAAGAACAAAAAATTTAAAATCTTCTGAAATTTTTTTCTCTCTTGTGCATATTATCTCTACTTCTCTCTCTACATATTATCTCTACTTCTCTCTCTACATTACATGAGTAAAAATGGTTTTTTTTTAAACACTCTCTCCCCTTACATACAAAGTGCTTTTTTTGGGTAAGTTTCACTCAACTTATTGATAGAGGAATTGGGTTTGGTTTGGATATTCCCATAGCTTAAAGAGCTTTTATCAGGTAAAAATGGTTTTTTTTTTTAACTTTCTCTTCCCCTTCACCCAAAGTCTTTCGTTTGGGTAGGTTTTATCCAACATATCGAGAGAAGAATTTGGCCTGGTCTGGATATTCCATAACTTAAAGAGCTTGACGAGAGATCTCGTCTTGAAGGTAGGGTATCATAGGTTGGATCATCAGCTTTTGAGCAGCATGGCCTGGGTCATCAGCTTTCCACTCTCCTCTGATGAAGGGAACCAATTGTTTCCTTTTATTTTATCAAATAACCATAACTTCTGGTAAAGAGATAATAAGTTACAAGGGAAAAAATTCCACAAGCGAGGTAAAGAGAGAATACGCCATAATATTTATCTTAATCTTCTAATCTCATAATTCTACATATACCATGAGATTCATCCTAATCTTCTAATCTCATAATCCTTGAAATTTCTTTTAAATTTAGGGGCTCAAACTAGTTTTTCCCCTCTGATTTTATTGGATAAATATGACTGCAGAGACCAGGAGAGAATAAGCTACAAGAAAAAGAAAACATTTTTCGGTTCTTCAAGAACAAAAAATTTTAAATTTTCGGTTTTTCAAAAACCTAAATTGGTCTCATTGAGGTTTTTGAAAAACCAAAAGTGGGGAGTTTTGTCTCTTTTTAAAAAAATTGTTATGAAATCTAAAAAACGGACATATCAATAATAACATAAAGTATTTGGTATTTTGGTAATAATGAAAACTAAAATAGATATTTACGTAATTTTTCCTTAATTTTATAATGTTATTACATATATGCAACAGGTAAGAAGCAAAAACATTCTAACTTTTAATCCAATATATAAAATAAAAAAATTAAATATATGAAATATATACCACAAGACCATTTGTTTTTCATACAAGAAAGTTACAATTATTAGATTTGGAATTGAGTGGTTGAGAAAGTGTCATTGTTTGAGCAAAAATCTAAAATAAAATTTATCGAATGTTGTGACACACTTTCATCTAGTGGATTTCACATTTTAACGGCTAAAAGTGATTTGTGACCTCCTTGTACTAAAAATAAATAATCTCCATACAATCCCATTAAAATGTATTATGCACAAAAAAGTATAAAATATAAAATATACAATATATATACCACTTCTAAATTATAAATCAAGTAGAAGTTTTCTATAAATTTCCCTTAAAATTTTCATTTTTTTTTTTGGGTAATTCAGTATGGATGAGGAGCCCCTACCCGTTTTTGAAATTGTTAGTGGTTTTTTAAGGCGTTAGATGAGAATGAAAGCCTAGACTTAGCTGGGATCATTGTTGGAAAAATCACTCACTCGGTTAAATCAGATATGGCCGGTTCCAATTTCGGACGGTTTTGGTGACCGACAAGGTATTTAAAAAAATAATAATTAAAAATATAAAAAAAGGGATTTTGTTTGTAATTTATTTTTAATGTTTTACATCATTATAGCAAAAATTGAAAAAAAAATTGGCCATAAATATTTATTTTTATATTTTTTCATCCTTAAAAAAATTCAAAAATGCCGCTGGGCACATCAATTATTTAAAATTTATTTATTTTTATTTATTTTGAATTTCATTTGGATGTGCTTTGTTTAATCATTATTTAAATATATATTTTCATCTTTTAGTAGATTTTATTGTATTTTTTTAACATTTTTTTGATTGCCTGAGACTTGCTCGGTTAGAATGGTTGAACATGTTGGTTTACCAGTTAGACTAGTTGAATCGCTTTCCACCCATGTCCAGTTAGGGCATATGGAGCTACCACCACGACCTAAGAAGAGATCGGTTCTTTTTGTTTGTTCTAATAAATTACTTGTCAAAATATTTCATACTATTTACTCATTTGGATAAAATACAATACACTTTAGATTTCAAATTTTGAGGATATAATCTCTACCAATAATAATATCTGCACAAAAAGTTCTAAAAAAATAAGGCCTCTTGATTGAATAGAGACCGTATAATATTTGAAGGGCTAAATCTAAACGTTAGAACTCAAACTTTAAATTTTTCTTCCAAAGATAATTATCCAATTTCTTCTAAAGATAATTATCCAGTAATTTTTATATGATTCCCATTTTTTAGACTTAAAAAATCATCCTGGTTAGGTGTTTTGATTGATATGCTCCCCCGGGAGCATAGCATGTGCTTTCAAATTATTTTATTAAAGAAATGAAGGGCTTTATTCGTCCACCATTACACAGGATAAACTCGATATTTCCTCACAAAGTAATACTATATATCCGCGTCTGCGTGTGCTCGCCTTCTCTGTCATTCTCTCTTTTTCCCGGTTTTATTTATCCTCTCTCTCTATACGAATGTTCATGTAGCAACCATGATTCCCAATAAATCGAGCTTGAGGTTAGGGTTTCTTCCCATTTAATCCTGCTCTCCTTCTTCCCCCTCTACCTGAAATTTAATTCTCATGTATAGTTTTTTCTCAATTTGCAGGGAAAAAAATTATTTGATCGGAAAGGTTTCACCTTAATTTGCATGTTACCTTATCAAGGTAAGGATCATGAATTTGATTCAGTTCAATTTTACTACCTAGATGCTAGAGTTTGATTTATGGTATTTATTCATCTGTGAACTTGTTTTGGTTTATGAATTTTGTTCAAATTTTGTGTTCTTTTTTATTAATCCAAAAGGAGGATATTTTCTGTTCATTTATCTGTTTGTCGATCATGGTGATATATTTCGTGTTGATTTTCTGTACAATTGCTCGAAGCTTAATAAAGAGCGATATTCGCCCAAAAACACAATAAAAGGGGGCATCACCCCGTTTATTTCTATTCGCTCTCTCTTCCTCTCTCTACAACCAGGTATTCTCTCTCTCACTATCCTTCCTTTTCTCTATCTCTGCTTCTATCTCTCTGTCCCTCCTATCTCGCTCACTCTCTCTCTTTTTGACAGTAATATCTCTCACCCCCTCCCTCCCTCCATCCCTTTTCTTCTTTCTCTCCAAAAGGGGTTTAGAAAATCTGCCCCCTTTGTCGTGGAAAAGAGAGAGAGAGAGAGAGAGAGAGAGACGGGCCGTCGGCCCGGGGTTGGGAGACAGCGATCGAGGAGAGAGTATTTGAAGAAAGATATGGGGACGTCCACAGACTGGAAGCTGAGGATGAGAGAAAGATGGGCTGGTCGGGTGTGGCCTGGGAGATGAGAGAGAGATGGGCTGATCGGGTGGAGAGAGAGGGAGAGGTTGGGTGGGGATGGGGATGGGGATGGGGAGAGCGATGCACCTGTTGGGTGTGGGGAGAGAAAGGCGGTGGTTGGTTGAGGAGAGGGAGAGAGAGATGCACCGATTGGGTGTGGGAAGCGAGAAAGGCGATGGTGGGATAGAGAGGGAAGTAGAGGGCATGGACATTTGGCCAAGGACCTGCCTTTGGCCATGTGCCTGTTTTTTCTCTACTCTATTTCCTTTTTTACTCTGTTTTTCCTTCTTTTTTTTTGTGTTTTTTTAAATGTGTACAACTCAGGCGAGTTCCTTCGATTCGCCCCGGTAACTTGCCTCGGGCCAGGGCCGAGTACCTGTCTAGAAACGAGTCTTGGTATGCTGGTACTGTGATATTAGGTTTTTTATTTTTAATTCTTATGATAGTGCTATTTCCATGGGTTTCCTGGTAATTAACTCTGTCTTTAGGTTCTTGTTTCTTGATCATGTTACATAAAACATGTATGTGTCAATGTTAAAAAATCGGATGGACCTGCCTAGTTGGTTTGGGATCTGGCCTCTAGGTGGGCGCCTAGGAACGAGTACGGGCCAGGCTGCTGAGGAGTTTTTATGTCAGGGGTTTGGGTGATTAGGGAGTTTTAGGGCACTTTTAGAGCCCCAAAGCCCCTGAAAATAAAATAAATACAGCATTACAAAGACTCAAATGTCATCAAATTGCTACGAAACTCAGAGTACATATTGCATTTACATAAATTGATAAAGTAGTGATCAAAAGTGAAATACTAAAGGATGATGTCGATTATTGACATGTGATGTACTATTCAATAACTTAAAATGACAATTCTGTCATCACCACCTTGAATAGAATTTGATGATGATGCCATGCCATCATCATTAAAGTCATCCCCTCCTCAACATATTGATCGTCATCCCTTGTCTCATCTGAATCTGCTTCATTCTCTTCATCCTCCTCTCTCAATCTCATCAACCTCTTCCTCTTCTCCTTTGCCTTCTCCCTATCCTTGGGCTTTGAGATTGAGATTGTGTGGTCCACACAAGGCTCAATAGTGTCCCAGTAACCTCACGGACCTGACCCCAGTCAAGCCCTCTCCTAGGAATACCTCATCTTCCCCATTATCAACCGGCCACTTGGAAGTATCATCCATATCATCAACTTCAATAACATCCCTCTGATTGTGCTCCAGCTATTGATGGTGCTCCTGCAGCTTTTGATTATACTGAATGAAGACAAGGTCGTTCAACCGCTTTTGCTCAAGTTTTTCGTCTTCTTTGTATGGACCTATTAGATAAATGTTGAATGAACAATTAAAATTTAGAAAAATGTAATATAGGTTATGCTAATAAACTAACCAACCAGGTAACTGACAACTAAGTAGTGTAAGTAATATTACCATTTCAAACGTGCTGAAGTTGCTTTCACATCCGACGGGTTACAAGTCAGATTCGATATATGCAATGCCATCTGCCGCAAATGTGAGGTGCTATTTCACATGATTGTTAATGTAGTTTACAAGGTATCTGGATAATTGAAATTTGATGGTCAAATCATGAAATCAAAATGAAGTAGTTCTAACAGGAGAGATCTGGGTCCTCTGCCTTATTGAGAACTCCTATCCGGGAGACTCAATTGAGAGCCTATAGTTCTCTATATCCATTGTGACCTTTTCTTGGACTTCGGGATCAGGGTTGAGTTTGATATTTGCATTGATTTTGACATTTCTGGTATATATCTTGTTTCAGTAGCTGGTTCTTAGGCTATTACTTTATGCAGATTTAGTGGGTGAAATTCAATTATGTAATTAAGAAAAATTTTTGAAAGATGACATTCTTTTGTAGTTTGAAGAAGTCGTGCCCTACTCATGACCCACAAACTATCAACTGTTGGTATACTCAGCATATTTTTCTGAACTTAATGAGACACTGTGAGATTACTTATGAATGTATTTGTGTAGCCATTTGTTGTGTTCGTATGGTTTCACTGTGTGTGGTTTGATATAGATGCTGAGTGATGAGGAATTATTTATCTTTTATTGCTTCTGCTTCCTACCGTTTCTTTCCAACATATCATGACAATGACAATCTAAGGCAAAAGAAGTGGGGTTCTCTGTGAGGATTTCCATTTATAAGCTAATTTTAATTACTAAATGTTTTAGTTTTATATTGTATCATTTTCTCACCACAGTTTCTTAGCCTCTATAATTATCATTCTGAGTTAAAAAAACATGGTGCCATGAGGAACCTCACTGTGAACTTTTTCTGCTCTTGAATAGGTAATGAAGGGATTGCCTGAGAAGTCTGTGGATTCAAAATTTTGTGTGGGAAGTTCAGCTGGATCTACAGAAAAAGAGCCCTTTTCACCATTTGACACAGAGAGAGAAAATTGTCAGTCGAAGTCTCTAAGAACTTCTTTATGGTCAAGCTTGGTGACATCTCCATTTTCTATGTTTGAATCATATAATGAGTCAAATTCCAGTGTTAAGACCAAGGTTTTGAGAAATAGAACATACAGGTGGTCTGCAGCTCTTAGGAGAGCGTTGGCTGGTAGCCCAATGAGGCTACTCCAGGAGCGTATTCTGGGGCTGTGCAAGACTGGTGTTTCTAACTCAAATGGCGATATATGGCTCTTGGGGGTTTGCTATAAAGTTTCATCGGGGGAATCCTCTAGTGACTTAACTCATGCTAATGGTAAAGCTGCATTTTTGCAAGATCTCTCATCACGGATTTGGATCACTTATCGGAAAGGTTCGACTTGAGTTAATTTTGTTGAAAGCTTTGGGTTGTTGTTATGAATTATCCACTTCTTCAGTTTCTATTGTGTATGCTTGAAATGCATCCTTCTTTGCAGGTTTTGAGACTATCGGGGACTTAAAGCTCACTAGTGATGCCGGTTGGGGTTGCATGATCAGAAGCAGTCAGATGCTTGTTGCTCAGGTATTCTCAACTTTTATGGTTTTGTCCGCCCATAAGTTGTATCACAATTACTTGATTTGTTAATAAATTTTCTTTTATTCAAATGCATATGGTATGATTTGCATGGTTTCACACCTAAACTGTGCTTATTGTAGTTCAGGTGTTGATATTATTTGTCCACGTTTTATTTTTAATTTAATTTTTGCTTCTTCATAGTTCATTATAATTGATAAACTGCTTTCTGTATGCAGGCTTTGCTTTCTCATCATTTGGGGCGATCTTGGAGCAAACCTACTCATAAGGTGAGATGAATGGGGGAGGATATGCATGGTTATCATTGATAGAAACAAACATCAGATTATCGAGAAAATTAAAGAAATTCCTGCTATGGTCAATATAGAGGATGATAAGGCTCTTTACTTTGCCCTGCAGGGTTGCTCATGATGGTGCCATGTTGATTATGCAGCCATTTGATCCGGAGTATGTCGCGATTTTGCATCTCTTTGGTGATTCTGAGGCATCTTCGCTGTCCATACACAATCTACTTAAATATGGGAAAGGATATGGTTTGGCTGCTGGTTCTTGGTTAGGACCATATGCTATGTGTCGTACCTGGGAAACTCTTGCCCGTATATCAAGGGAGCAGATCCATCTTGGAGATCGAAACGTATCCTTGCCCATGGCTTTGTATGTTGTCTCTGGAGATGAAGATGGAGAAAGGGGAGGAGCTCCAGTTCTCTGCATTGAGGATGCTGAAAGGATTTGCGCTAGCTTCTGTGGGGGTCAAGAGAGTTGGGCACCTCTTCTTTTGTTGGTTCCGCTGGTTCTTGGACTTGACAAGGTTAATCCCAGGTTGGTGTTTGTCCTACTTATCCTGGCTAAATAAGTAAAATTTTGTAGGTTTCTCAATTTTCTGCTACTTCTTGGAATGGAATGTGGAAGTCAAAAGTCAAAATTATGATCATACTCTATGAAGTATATCTTTTCTAATGTATCATAGCAGTCTCTTGAACTTAAATATTAATCTAAATTCATGTTTCTCTGTAAAATTGTGATTCCATGTTGAGATTGCTGTGTTTGAATTCATAGTTCATAGCAGTCACCTACCCAAAATAAAAAACAAAGATGTTTGCTAGATATATTCCACATGGTCCAAGTGGTTAATATTGATTGAATTAAGATGAAGTTGTATATTATTGTGATCAATCTATCTTTGTGTTTGTGAGTGTCTATTTCTAATTGTTGACTTGCTTTCTTGAGAAGGATGTGGATATTTCACTTCTTCATCGAGACAAAAATATAGCTCATTGTGTTCTTGCATACAATGATCTGAATGCAATGATAATACTGATTAGTATGTTCTAATGCTCAAGAATCTAGTACTTGTAGATGTATATGTCCAAAGACATGTAATTTCTATATCCCCAATAACCATATTGATAGCTACACGCATGCACATGTAATACTAGAGGAGACCACTAGGGAAACCTCCCTCTTCCAACCCAAATGGGCTGGAGTGAAGTGTCATGAATACGTACCATTTTCTGTGTGTCAAATGAGAATCTGTCTCAAATGAGAAAATACCGGAAGATTCATTTTTCCAGACAGTCTGTCCTTCTTATCCAACAAGCTGCTCTAGAATATCAAGTTATTGACACTACTTGCAAGATCCGCATCAGCTCTTCCATTTCGTCTACTGGACAATCTCTCTATAAAGAAGGCATCCAGCTGAATCTTTCCCTGACCCACACAGAGCAAGTATTTACATTTTTGTCTGGAGCTGCTGTTCAAATCCTTAACTCTTCTGTGTCTAGAGTGTTTTGTCATTACTCATACAGACCTTGAACCTTGCTTGAACTTCCTTGTCCAGTCTTGATGCCAACCCATGCCTTAGAACTTAACCAAGACTGCGCAGCTCTTGTGTCCATCCTTAACACATTTGATCTGAAATCTCTTTGTTGTTAATGGGAAAACTATCATCCATTTAGTAAGAAAGTATTCATTAACCAGTCAGACCTTAAATCCAAGAGCATGGAGAGAGTTTTGGATATAAAATAACTATACCCTGTAAAGGTGAAGTAGATGGCATCCCTGTTAAGTGTTAGTATGGGTGTTCAGCGACTGTTGGATCCACTATTTGGCCTTTCAGAAAAACGTCTTGGTAATTTTCCTTTCAGAAAAACGTCTTGGTAATTTTTGTATGGTTTGATACGAAAGATGGAATTGCTTTGCAATTTGATTGGAATTTCTGTTGCACATCATCTAAAATTGTTTTGGTGCCCTGACTGCACTCTCTATTATTTTTTTAACATTTTGAAATGTATATTGATTTAAAATTGGAAATATCAATTCTGCAGTAGACTACACTTGACATACAATGTCAAAATTTCTTGCTTATGCAGTACTTTCCGTTTTAATTCGTTAACTAGGTATATCCCATCATTGTGGGCAACCTTCACCTTTCCTCAAAGCACTGGCATCTTGGGTGGAAAACCAGGGGCTTCAACATATATAGTTGGTGTGCAAGATGATCAAGCTTTATATTTGGATCCTCATGAAGTTCAATCGGTATACTCTTGTTCTTATCATTCTAAACTTGATTATTTATTGATTCTCTGGTGTAAAAGAGATTTATCTGTTCTTCATGTAGAATCACATGAAGTTCAATCAGCATTGTCTTTTAGAATTCTAAGGGCGGTTGGTTACATGGGTCAAAAAATCAAGTATGTTCTGATAACCTTAACATCCAAGCATCATGAATAGAGTTTTCTATTATAAGTTACAGATGAATTCATTATCAGAATAAAGAAGAAATTTAGCAATGAACTGATAATGGATTATTTGGATGAGCTAGATTCCAACATTGCCAACCTAGTGTTGCATCTACTATTCTGGATGATATATGTTTTAGTCCTAATAGTGGAGTTTTGTGCTTGTTTATCTAATATTATTGTGAAGGCCACATGTAAGCTCTCTCAAAAGGCTTGCTCCATGGTGGCATTATGGTGGGGGCTATTCTATATGGCCCCCCAAATTTATTTATTTTTTCTCTCTCTTTTGTAAAATGTTAAGGAGTTCCAGGTCCATAGAACTCATGTTGTGGCATCTGCCACCCTGCCCACCTTGCGCATATCTTGTTGATATCATTGTTGGAGGTCGAAGGTCTTGGGCTTGGGGCTCCTAACAAAGCAAAGCGAATCCTGATGTTTTCAAAATATCGGGAAAATATAGCTGATATTTTGAAAATATGGGAGATGTTTTAGAAAAAAAACAGATAGTTTTTAGAAAAGCACCATGTTAATAGGCTGAAGTGCCAAAGGTCTTCTCTTCCCTAGCCAATACAAAGAGGTCTCCGAAGCAAATTTAGCAAGATCTCTTGATTAAACAACACATCCATATTGTACTTGATACTTGGTGTCTGATACATTTGTAAGTTCATAAGTCTTGATGCTGTTTATGAGGTCTTTGGCACTTTCAGGGAGTTAGCTATTGTACATCTTGATATTTTCTGAGAAAGTGTCGACCTTTGAGAAAGAATTGGCAACTTGTCTGATAGTTCCAATGAAGAATTTGACACCTATGAGTGTCGCGACGTTGCCTTGAAGTGCCACTTCTAGGTGATGCTTTGTGTTGGAACTTAGAAGTGATGCTATCTGTAGACATCCCCTTGAAGGCCAAGAGAATTCCCCAAACCCTGCAACCCTGTGTCAGCGTCTCAGACCTAAAACCTTGATCCTAAACCTACCAATACCCCAAATTAGTCATCAGACTAATAAACATAGAAAACTAACCCAAACACATATCCGACAGCTACAAACTTGAAAACCGAGACCCTGAAGTCATAGCCTTGTGGACCCCTTAGAACTCACTCAAAATGGATCGAACTTTATTCAAAATTATTGAGGAGGTCGCAAGCTTTCCAAAGGTTCAAGAGTCCCTCAAATCTGACTTAGGGTTTGAAAGTTATAGCCCAAACAAATTTGTTTGCGGAAATTCCAATTAGTCCCTGCACGACATAGATCATGTTGGGCAGCACGAGTCACAAAGAATTGCGCAAATTTTTAGACCTGAAAATATTCAGAAAATATCAGAGCCTTCTAGAACTTTCTAAAGGTCTGTGCTTAAAGGTTTTATGTGTGAAACCCCTAGGAAATCAATAGAATATTCCTTAGAAGATGCCTAGAACCCCAGCCCATATAAGCCCCTCTTACTGCCCATAGAAAAATCCTCCAAAAAAATTCTTAGAAAATCCCAAACTTCCTAAAAGATTTGGAAAAATTTTAGAAACTTAGGGAAAATTCCTAGAAAATCCTAGCAAGTTCCCATTTGCTAGAGGAAACTCTAGATCTAGAAAAACCTAGGCTAGAAACCCTAGGCCAAAATCCCTTAAAAAAATCTCCAAAAATCAAAACCCTAGGAATAAGATCTCCTAGGTCCAAACAGTTAACAGCATAAAAAAAAAAATCTCCTAGGTCCAAAAACCTTTTAAGCCAATTCCTCAAGAAAGAAAGAGAAGGCATCATAAGTGTATATCAACCCGTAGGGTTGATATGGGCCCCAACTCTGGGTTCCTTAGGTAAGAGATCTCTTCTTTTCCTAATTTGTTTATCATTCTCTAGCTTAGTTTAGATTTTTAGCTTTTAAGGATTTAATTGGTGTGAGATTTTAGCCGACGCTGCTAGTAGATTCAAAAGGGGTCAGATCTACCTAGATCCGCATCAGTTTTATCTGTAATTCAACATGCCCCACATCTTTATTGATCGATACATATTTTGACCATTTGACATGAATTTGAGATCTCATTCCGAGTTCTCCCCAGATTTGGGCATAAACACTATCATACTATAAGAATCCATAATCTTGGGGGTGTGAGGTGTTGTTGGTCCAGTTGCTAGCTGATTTTCCAATTCTTCCCATATCCCAAGTGTTGTTTTTTCCTACTTACTTGTTTTAGCTTTAATTTAAGATATAATGTTCTAGCGCAGTCTTAACCTAGAATATCAGATATACGTAAGACTGAAACATGTTTCTGCATGCATGCGATTACTTTTTGTAACACAAAAGAGTGCTTAAATTCAGTTCACTTAGTTTACTACCCTTCTTGTATGGGCACCCACAACTTTTTTCAGAAGAATAGAAAGACCCAGCTAGTAGTGAGTAGAATAGGTTCAACACAGATAAAACATATTGGTAAAGTTGACTTTTTCAATGACACTTGCTAAACTTCTGAAATAACTTGGTGGTGGATATTTAGTTACTGTAGCTGCACTATCTTATCCAATGGAATATATATGTTCATGAATAAGACAATAAGCAAGTTAATACACAAGATATTGTGTATGTATTTAAGAATTTTTGTAGTTTGAGGTAGTGAGCATCCTACATTGTGGTTATGTGTATTGAAATTTGGTGGAGTTCTGGCCATGGCATTTATTGTAATAGGCATATTTACATGATCCTCCTAATAAGGTATCGTTAGTTGTATCCTCACCTACTACTATTCTTATTGACGCTTTTAGGTGTTCACCGTAACTAAGGTATTTGAGAGACTTGTTCTGGTAAAAATTTAAAAAGTTATTTGTGAAAGTTGAAACTTATTGGCTTGGAGAACAAAAGAATAACAGGTTAGGGAATTGTAGATTTAAGGCCTTGGCATGCTTCATAGTACTGGGCTACAAATAAGAACCTCTTTTGCAGGACCTTTGTGTTAAGGGTAGCGCTGTCACTTTGACATGCACTTCCAAATCTGTAGCTACTTCCTGCCCTAGTCATTCTGATTTGCGACATTCCCTTTCTTAGTGCAACTACCTTTCTAGTTCTGTGCATCTAGAGGAATTTTGTTTGAGAGGGTGTCAAACCTCCTTGCAACTGTTAAAATAAGTCGGTCTCTTCTGTTTTATTGGCTAAAATTGTGAGATTTGGGTCATGATCAATGTGTATCCTGTCAGCAAAGCTTTCAGCAGCCACCAAAGCATTTGAAGAAGGAAAGTGTTTATATAAGGGCGAGACCCTAAACAATCAAATTAAGGCGTACCTCAAAAATTCACTGGAAGAGGTTGTTTTGATGCTGAAACACCCTGAATTTGACCATCTCGACCTCAAGACGTATGGCCAAGTGAAAAAAATAGATTTCAAGTCTTGGAAATAGTGCATGTTGTAATGTATTATTTAGATCGCCAATTTTCAAGATTTTCAGATTTTCATAGATCTACTCCATCTAAACTATTTTTGAATCTTTAAATTTTATAGTTAGAGATGAAAATAAAATTTCCGGGCCATCATACAGATTTCTGATACTGAAACAACATATTTCGACACTATTTGAAGGTGGGCCTTATTTCGATTGTTTACGGCCTCAGCCTTATACAAACCACACCCTTTGAAGAAAGGCATTAAAATGCACATGTATTCTGTCTCCTTGCCTGCAATATTATGGATTTTAATTAGAAATTTTAGACTGTCCCAAGGCATTTTCTTTTTATTGTGGGATGGATTAGGAACTAATATTTGCCCATTTCACATGGCAGATGGCCAGAAAATAAATTTAGAATATTGGAACATATTGTTATCTGCATGATTTGCTTCATTTGTTGAAATTATTAATTATGGGAAGGAAATAAGGTGTTTGGTTAGCCGCTGTACTAGTCACTAATAATTTAGACATATTTATGGTCCTATACAGGTTGTAAATATTGACCCAGGCAATTTGGAGGCCGAAACATCTTCCTATCACTGCAAGTAGGTCAAATTGGGCATATGGGCATTATATTTGCTTATTTATCGTATTAGACTGGTTGTTGTATTTCTAATATTTTTCTGCCTTTTCTGCTTGGTTCCAGTGTTGTAAGACAGATGCCTTTTGACACGATTGATCCCTCATTGGCAATCGGATTCTATTGCCGTGATAAAGGTATGCTTTGCTGCTGCTTACTTGACATCAATAAAAGGTGATGGCCATGATTTTGCAAATTTGGCCAATCCATCCTTTTCATTTCCAAATGGTGAAATGGTTTTTTTCTGACCACCGATAAGCTGATCAATAGTTTCATGTCAAATATTTCGTTGCTATGTATTGGTGTTGAAATATCATAACTTTCTGAGCAGGTTGACGAGTTTTCAGAACCAATTTGTACCTCATTCTCTATCAATGTGGTCATTCTTTTTATTTCTCTTCCTTTTTAGGTTCCTTACCAGTAAAACCAGAGTAGGTTTGATATATGCACAAGTTAATCCTTTGAATAGCAGATTGTTTGGGTTGTGTCCCCTTCTGGGGTAGAATTCCATAGTTTCAAAGGGGTTCCCCTTTCAAAAATATTTGAGAGGTTCTCATTGGCATCCCTGCTAAGTATTTCACTATTTCTCTGGCTCTTTTTTTTTTTTTTTGATGTTTTTGTTCACAGCCGTTGAGACCTAATTTGTTCCGGTTTTAATTTTTGTATTAACATGTTCCGAGAATGAAAGTAAAGGGATTTTTGCTTTCCATTTGTGAGCAGATGATTTTGAGGATTTTTGCACTCGGGCTGCTGAGATTGCGAGTAATTCAAATGGAGCACCATTGTTTACTGTTACAAATTCGAAACCAGTGAAGAAGGGCGCATTGGCAAGCGGGTCTAGTGTTTGTGAAGATGAAGTCAGCAACCAAAAACTGGTTTTGGAGGCCGATTCTTTCGAGGGAGAGGCCAACAGTCTCTCGAACGAGGATGATTGGCAGCTTCTTTGAGAGGACTTCTCAAGTTATGGAATCCCAACGAGGGGTTGGGAAAGCAGTGGCTTGGGTGTTATTGATGAATGTTCCTCAGGGTCTCATTCCCGTTCAATTTCTTTGTACATCTAGCTGCAAAGCACATACCTGAACTGGTATATAGACCCTTTCCAATTGATATGGGTATTGGTTACCTTTTCTAAATTATTGGTTTGAGCTGGGGCTCTTGATTTAGGGATGCTTCTTTTAGGGCTCTGAATCCGTGCACTCATGGGAAACTGCGAAAACTTAGGTGCTTTCTCTAGGAATGTGCTTTCTGTAGCTAGGCTTGCAAAAACATTAATTTAATTGATATTTGTATTTGTCTTCACAGTGTCTTACTCTCCTATAGGGGTATGACTTCTTGTGGTGCGAGGTGATCCTGACCCAAGTAAATCCTTGTAGATCTTGAAGTTTGAGTTTAAATGCTTGATCCATGTTCTACGTGAATAGCTTGTATAATACTTTTGTAGCTTTAATTTATTGGGACTTTACGATGAGACTTTTTTACATATATAAGGAGGTCACAATTCCTTACAACTATTCAATGTGAAATTTGATAGATTGGGTGTATTACAAAGTTCAAAAAAATTTATTTTAAAGTTTTGAGCTTGGTTAATGGAATAAATGCGGCAATCGAATTTCACAACCAATAATCAAGATTAATTGTGATCATCTTGTATTAAAGATAAATGGTTTTTTTTAATTTATGTTTTTGATGTTAAACTTTTGGTCGTATTTGATACTACATAAGTAAGTTGTATTTTTATTACTGTAGGCGGAGCAGTTGGGGGATTTTTTTTATCCAAATATTTCTCAAAGTACACCTTTGATTCACTGGAACATAAAAAGATTCTTGGCTCTCAAAACCGGGATGTCATCCTTAAAATGGTTGGTGTGCATGCATTTTTTGATGGGGACATTAATTTGGATCATTTTTAGGGCACAGCAATGAATTTTTTTAGATTGATCATGGGGATGAAAGATCTGGGGTGAAACAATTAGTAAATAGGTGTTTTGTAGTTGGGAACAAGCGTGTAATTTGCTCCCATGGGAGTACATAATAGTTTAACCTTGGGTGATTTTCGTATGAGCTATTTCATGATGAGTACATAACTATTGTGCGGTTTTGAATGTGGAACGGAAATGTTCAAAGCCTCATGAAAGATCCCCAAAGTCACTACAATGTCGTGGAGTCTCGTAAAGAATTCTCATCTTTCTTTTATTATTTCTTCTGTCAATGGATTAAGTGGTCGGACTAGAAAAAATGGGCTGGCCTACAAATTTTAGTCCTGAGGTTGGACCTCCATGGACCTGGGCTTGGCCTATCTTGTTGGAAGCCTTGAGACCTAAGATGTGTGGTTCGTCCTAATATTTTCCAAATTTTTATGTCAAGAGAAGAGCTATAATGTGAGTTGTGGGGGATGGGATTATACACAAATGAGACCATATGTATTTAGTACAAGGTCACAATCATCATCAACAGTTACATTTGAAATTGGGCGGTTTTGGATATATGGGCACAAAGTTCAATAAATTTTCTCAAATGTTGGGGTATTTTCATCTATTGGATTTTACATTTAATAGCTATGACCTCCTTGTATGAAAAATGAATTAGTCTCATAGTATACATTCCCGAGCTGTGCATAATTGGTGTGAATTTTTCTTTCATTTGGAGACTCAGTTTTTTTTCCCGAGAAGCTCGTTAAATTCTTTTGGATGTGGGGTTACATTCATTGTAAAAGATGGTAACTGTTTGGTTATTTAACAGTCTGGACCAAAGTTCAAATAGATCTGGAGTTTACTTGAGCCTCTCTCTCTCTCTCTCTCTCTCTCTCTC